CCTTGAAGGCACAGGGGGGTGGGGGGGCTAAAAGAAGTCCCACTCCGTCCTCCAGGCTACTAGGAGGCTGAATTATCCCACAGCTGAGGGTGGTAATGGCTTCGTGTGGCTTCTTGGAGCCCTGGTGGCTCCACGACTATGCAGGGTCGGCAGTGGAAATCACCATTCGAGTCCCCTGAAGAGTTTCGGAAGCTCACAGTGGCAGCTGTGCTCTCTCACCATGAGTCGCCGTCCACCCAGTGGCAGTGAGTGAGTGTGGCTCTCCGGGTAGTGGAGCAGGCCAGAGGGCTCTGGGGCCAGGGGTACTTAGGTCAGGCCCCAGCTAGGCCACCCTCTGGGATCAGTAGTCAGATGTCATGGATAAAACCAGCACGTACGGTGTCTCAGCAAACACCAGTTTAGTTTTTCTCCCACATAAAGCTGCGGTGAGGCAGGCAGCCATCCAGCCAGCCGCAGCTGTGGGGCTGCTGCAGCCCCGCGGAGCTTCAGGGACCCAGGGGGCTCTCTCTCTCTCTGTAGTCATCCTAGTGGGTGGCTTTTGTCCGTATGTGTGTCACCTCTCAGCTGTTCCACCTCCAGCCTCTGAGTCTGCTTCCCAGGGCAGGGCTGAAGGCAAGAGTGAGTGCTAGTTAAGGGTGCTGCCCCTTCCTCAATGGGCTCACCCCACAACACTTCTCATTGCCCCAAACAGAGTTACATGGCCACCCCATTTTCTATTTTTATTTTTTTAGCTAGTGCGTTGCCAGTGGGACCAGAATCAGAGACCACCTGTCCATCCTGCGTGGCATCTCGGAATCTGTGCCCTGTGCTATCACTGGACATATAGTGGGGGTGCTAATGGTGTCACGTTTCCTCTGTCGTGTACCATGTTTTCATGGGGCCAGGTTGTCACGGTAAACTGGCTGGCACCATAGTTATTGTGGCCTCTGTAGATACCACTTGAAATTCTGGAATTCTGTCCTCTCCCCATCAACCATCTCCCTTTGCCTTTCTCCTGACTTCCATGTGGTCCCGTCCCCCCTCACTCCCCACCCAGTGGCTCCTTTGTCTGCCAGCCCCTGGGCCCTGTCCACTCCTGCTCTCTCTCTCGCTCAGTCACCGTTCCATCCATTTGCTCCTCCGCACCTGGGCTGTGGGCATCCCTGCACATCCCCACCCGCGTTGGATTAGTAACTGTGAGATCAGTCGTTCAAGCCCTCTGACCACCTCAAGGGTAGAGGGTGAGGCTGTCTTCCCCCCTTCGAGACTTACAGAGCCCCAGGAGCCTTCTGCAGACAGGGTCAGTGTGAGTCAGATTCAACTCGCTGACCAGGGGCCTTGGGCTTAACCCCATCTTCTTGGATCTGTTGGGCTCGGGCATCAGAACGATGGT